TATATATATATATATATATATTTTCATTGTGTTGGTTCTGCCCTGTCTCAGATGCCTGCTGGTTGTCCTCCCCTTCTGGACTTCCTCCTCTCCCTCCCCTGAATATCGTATCTATATGGACAGAGCTGGTTCGCTATGTATGGATTTGAATTTCGGTTTGATTTTTGCACGTGGAAAAAAAAAATATCGTGGAGCTGGTGGAAATAAATATTTGGAACTTGATTGCAGGAAGCCCCGACACGCCGCCCGAGGGCCCCGGCGCGGGCAGAGCCGCGGCGAGGCGCGGAGCGGCGCCGCTGTTTGCGATCCGCAACCCCCTCCTGCCTCCTTGCCAAAACACTGAAACAACCGCTAAAGACTTTAATTAAGAGGGGTAATTAGTTCGGCTTGATCAAAGCCGGGTTGTTAGGCTATTAGCTGCTCAGCAGACTCTGCCAAGCCGAGCCTTAAGAGCGGGGCCCGCTCTTTGGTGAGTGCTGACGGGGGGATACTGACTTTATAAATCCCGAGGGGAAGTTGAAGCTGCGGATGCCCCCGGGAAAGGGAGGCTCCGGGGCTGCGGTGTCTCCGCTAGCGGGAGGCGCAGGTCGCAGGACACCAGCATCCGCCCGAGACACAGTTAGAGGGATCTCGAGAGGTCCTGGGATCCCGGGAAAACGGGGGATCCCGAGGCCAGGGTCCCGGAGGAGCCGGAGCTCTGCGCAGCTCTCGCCGGGCAGCTCGCAGACCTCGGGGGACGCAGCGCTACGATCTGCAGGACCGCTCAGGAGCAGCCCTGGGCATTGGGGTTTCTTGTTGCACATGTGTCTGCCTTGAACTCCTAGTCTTCCCCAAATTTTAGGGCACATGAGAGATTCCGCCCTGGATTTCTTCTCTTTCTCTGAGAAGGGGCAAGATGATATGCTTTTAAAGTGTATTATAAGAGGGGGTACCTTTCTTGAGCAACTCCTGGCTCTTCCTCGCTGTGCCTCACCTTTGACAGCTGGTTAGGGGTATTTGCAACCAACAGGTCTAATCTTAAAACTTTAGGCTAGCGCCCCTCATCCTAACGCATGCCCTTGAAAGTGATTGGGATGGGAAGCAAGAACAGATCTCGACTTTCCCAGGTAAACTCCCGAACAGACGAGTCCCCGTGTAAAAAGCAAAACAACTGGTCGGGAGGTCGGGATCCCGACATTTTTTTTTTTTTTTTTTTTTTTTTTTCCCCCCCTGAGGATCAGCGAGGGGAGAGGAGCTAACCCCCCACGCCGGGGGTGCCCTCGTAGCACAGCTCATCCTCAAGGATGCCAGAGAATGCTGAAGAAATGGGGCTCGGGGTGGGCACTTTTTCGGCGCTGATTTGTGGCAGCAGGAGGGAAAAGAAAAGTGTGCAAAGCTGCCAATCTGATGTGAGAAGTGAGAGGCGAGTGAATAGCCTGTGCCTTAACTGTGCCCAGGTAAAGCAGGAGGGTTATGGGTTTATGGGGGTAACTAGGAGCAAGAGAGTGGGTCTGACAAGGTTAAGTTTTTCAAACATGTGATGAAAGGCCAGATATTTCAAACATCCCGCTGAAACCATAGGGGGACCTCGGCTTGACTAACTACATCGATGCTGGAGTCTGGCTTGCTTTCCCGCTGGGCAGGAGGCTGCTGCTGTATAAGTAGGTACCTTATAAGTAGGTACGAGGTACCTTCGTATCTTCATTTCACGATTCTTTGAACAATCACAACTCTTCAAGACTGCAGCTATGCTGAGCATTCAAAAAGCATTTCACATCATGATGAAAGAACATGAATGCAAATATATGATGAAATGAAAGGATGATCTAACCTCTAACATTGTGGGGAGCAAGATACAAAGGCCTCAAATGCCACGGACGAAAGTTTGCTCTCACTACTCAGATATCTTGTAAGCCTTTGCTGCACTTTGTTGCTCCAGGTGCTTCAGTAGTGCTTGGAGAAGGGAGGGCTCAGGCTTCCTCAAGGAAGTGGCAGCTAATTTATTCCTTTTGTATGACTAGAACTAGAGAGAGGATTTCTGAGGTTGCTTGTCCATAAGCCATTTACAGGTTTATAGACAGCAATTTGTGTTTAACCCTCCCATAAAAGATCTTCAACCACTGCATAATGTAGGGTTCTCCTCAGTCTTCCTGATGAAAAATACACTGTTTAACGGCGGAATCCGTGTGCATCAGTGGCCCCATTTTGAAATGGAGTGGAAATGAGGCACTTTAGTTTTATTCCAAGGTGAAGTAGAGGAAGTCAGCAATGGATGTGGCTATGCATTTCTCTTTCCTATATTTCTTGAGACAAATAGTATGGATATGGGGCTTTACAGAGAGAAATTACACTATACAAAAAGTAGTTTGTGTCAAAAGCTGGAATAAATATGCACCTCAGAAGGTGTGTTTGGCCATTACCGTACATTTTCTGACTTTTAAGATTAATCTCATGTTAAGTGAAATTTTAGTGTTCAAAGGTTTCTTCTTAAAGCTAGTGAAACTATCATGAGAGCCAGAAGCTGCTATTTTTTACATTTCCAAAACATTGAACTCTTAACAGTGCTCTTTATTACAGATAGGATTAATTCTTTTTCATTTGTGAGTAATTTTTCAGGAGTAATTTTTCAGGAGAAATGGAATCATTGGTACCTGGAGAAAAAATTATATTTTCAAATTCCTACTTGTCAGTCACCACTGTTGCCATATTATCCATATTAGTATTGACAACTTATCCTACATCCTACTGGTCCCTTTTGGGTGCTGGAACAACAAGGGTGTTGATGTGTCTGGATATGGTAAAATAGAGCCATAAATTTGGACATTAATGTCTTCACGACACTGTGGCCCATTTGCCTCCTCATAATCGATTGCAATAACTTCACTTTAATACAGAATAAAAGGGAGACAAGATTAATGTCTATGGAAGTTTATAGACAAGAGTTCTTATACAGAAAGAGCTATTGCCCTTTACTCCTCCTTCTCCCACAGGATTTCTCTAACAAGCCTGAGCAGAGGATTTCCCCTCTGCTTGTCAGACCCTACCTGACGTTAACATCAACTTGTGCCAGACCTGTAAGTATCTTGTATCTGAAAGAGCTACCAGAATTACCAAAGTCACCATATATCAACACAGCACTGTAAAGAATCTGTAAAGAATACAGCACAGCAGAAGCAGTATCTTGCTGCACAACCACATAAAATAAAATAAAATAACTCTTCATAGTAGTGGCTTTAGTTTCAGTGGTGACTGGACTGAGTCCCCTCTCTCTCCCCACAAAGGCCTTACAGCTTCCCTTCTCTTTTCAAAAAATACATAAAGTTTAAAGTGTAAGCAAAGCACAAAGGTTTTCTATAACTATCTGTAGAAAACTATCTTCATAACTACAGAAAACCTTTGTGCTTTACTTATACTTTAATGATTTAATGCCCATTTTGATGCCCACTTTAATGACCACTTTAATGCTCATGATGCACTTCACAGGTAGTTAAACAGATATAATCCTTAAAGGCTTCCAAAATAGATATTGGATATTTAGTCTAGCTAGGCTTTAATTTTTAGGGTTTTTTTTTTTTTCTTTACTATCACGATGGTGGCTATGAAGTTACTAAATGGAGGCAGCTGAGGTGAAGGTGTGCTAGCTTAGTAGCAGAATGGGTGGATGGTACCTAACAGCTGGAAACAGAAACACTCCTACTCAGTCATACCATACGTAACATGAAACAGGCACCTTTTGGTGTTTTTCCAAAGAACATAAGGACCTAATTCATGACTGAGGTTCTTGCACACTAATAGTTTAATTTCCCAGGAATATAAATAGTTTCATCCACTAGAGGTTTGTCTACTCATTTGTAACAGGCTTAAAGACTGCTGTATTCTGGTAGCAAGGATCGTAATAACTCATTGGCACCTTACTTCTCTTGTAAAAGCAGTGGTAATTTTTAGCTCAGTTCTATGCTGGATTCTCCTTGTGTTAAAAAGCTGCAGGTGAGGCTGGATTACTTTTGAGATTACTATGGAACTCCCTGAAATAGATTGGGTTCGTCATTGATGCTGCTAGTGTGCATCTGGTTTCATATGATGGGTCAACGAGAGTGAGGAAGAGACTGCAAAATGTTTAAATATAGTTATTTAAACTAAATAAAATATTTTAACTACATTTAAGCATTTTGCAGTCTCTCCCTCGCTCTGATTGACCCAACATATGAAACCAGATGCACACTGGTTTGGGATAGGACTTTTTTCCCAGAAAGTTGTCATTTTGCCTCAGTAATTTGAGATACAAAACAAGAAGGAACTTCTAATTTTAAAACCTGTTATGGTAATATGTATCAGCCATCCTCCTTCTAAGCTTTCATAGAAGTTATTTAAAATGTTCCACTCATTCTGTTGCAGTTCAATTCCTGCATATTTGATTAGACACAGTATTAAAAGGGACAACCATGCCCATGGAAAAATGAATGTTCTGCCCTTACTCCCTTAGAATTCATCAGTATTTCATCACCATTATAATGTGTTTTCTAATAATAATCTTAAATGCTTCAGAGAAGCTGTTTTTCCGAATTTAATTATGTGGAAAATGAGTATGAAGTAGTGTTGTTCTGTGAGGAAAACAAAAGAGTGACATTTTAAAGATGCAAACAAAACTTTAAAGATATAAGCAAGAACACCTTTTTTACAATTGCATGGGTAGAAGTTTA